GGTGAGGCCACTGAAATCCACATCCCTACTCTCATTCACCAAATTGCCCTATACACCAAACAATGGATTTCCATCAAAGCTCCACGTAAAATGCAACTTAATGATCCATCACTTTCCCACCATCATTTGATCCCTAAATTTCAAAAACATAACCCCATCAGGATGGTTAGATGGAAATGCCCACCTACGGGTCGCCTCAAGCTCAATGTAGATGCCTCATACACTCCTTCACAACAGCGTGGTGCGGCAATACTCAGGGATCACGAAGGTACCTTTATTCGTGCAGCAACTTTCAACCTCACATCTAATAGCTCCTATCAAGCTGAAGTAGAAGCAGGCATTAAAGGTATACGGTGGGCTTTGAAATTCTCCTCCAGTTTCCTCTACGAAACGAATGCTTGGGCTATAACCTCCAGAATGACAAAGTTAGCACACCACTCCATTTCCACCTTTCCTATAGATGTCCTGGGCCATCTTATTTTCCACAACAACATCACGCCCTCCCATGTCCTTCGAGAAGGCAACAACGCAGCGAACGCCCTTGCTAAGGCTGGCTTACATCTCACCTCTAGTGTTAAAGATTATGCTCATTTCCATTTGTGCCCTAGAGATGTCAGAACTATTTTGTTGCAAGACTGTAACCCCTCTTTTCGTTTCCACTAATCAATAAAACTCGTCTATTTGATTAAAAAAAATACACTTTGAAAATGTACTGTCTCAAAATCTCGGTGCAGGATGCAATCTGAGCCGCACGATGCATCTGATCCAAAGGCTAGATTTTATTCTTATTTCTTTCACCAAAGTGCATTCTCACATGAACCGGCCCCTGTACATATATACATATATGTATATGTATATGTATATGTATATGTATATGTATATGTATATGTATATGTATATGTATATGTATATGTATATGTATATGTATATGTATATGTATATGTATATGTATATGTATATGTATATGTATATGTATATGTATATGTATATGTATATGTATATGTATATGTATATGTATATGTATATGTATATGTAAATGTATATGTATATGTATAT